GGGGCTATACCACGACAATTACCTGTCCTTGCTAAAAAGCTTTAGGTGTTCTATGTGCTGTGCCCTTCTCCCTATTAAAATTGTATGCATGAGTTGTTGACCATATTAAGAAACAGGAAGTCTGAAGAGCAAGTCTTGAGTATTGAATTATTTAGATAATAATCCATGCAAGTTCAGCAAATCTGAGGCCATGTATGTCCTAAATCATTGATGATAGCAAATAGAATCATAGAATCGTTTAGGTTGGAAAAGACCTTTAAGATCATCCAGTCCAACCATTAACCTACACTACCAAGTCCACACTAAACCAATCCAGGGTAGACTAGACTAAACCATATCCCTAAGTGCCACATCTACCCATTTTTTGAACACTTGCAGGGATGGTGACCCCACCACCTCTCTGGGCACCACCTCTTCCAATGCTTGACTACCCTTTCCATGAAGAAATTTTTCCTACTATCCAGTCTAAACCTCCCCTGGCGCAGCTTGAGCCCATTTCCTCTCGTCCTATCGCTAACTACTTGGGAGAAGAGACCAACACCCACCTCACTACAACCTCCTTTCAGGGAGTTGTAGAGAGCGATAAGGTCTCCCCTCAGCCTCCTCTTCTCCAGACTCAACAACCCCAGTTCCCTCAGCCGCTCCTCATAAGGCCTGTGCTCCAGACCCTTCACCAGCTTTATTGCCCTTCTCTGAACACGCTCCAGGGCAACATACTGGTACCTCAGATGCCATGTAAAATCAGAAAATAAGATTAGCTATTTTTGCATATAAAAGTACCTGTGGAAACCAATTTGGAAAAGAACTATGGATTTTCATATGCCAAGAAGTTTATAAGGTTTTACCTTAGTAGTCTTTCAGTAGTAACTCTCATCAGTATGCATATATTAGGAAAGTAGCAAAACCTCTTGTACTTCCCCCCCCCGCCCCGAGAGTGCAATATGCCTAGCACAAGATTGATTTTTTTTCTGCCTGAAAGGATGTATGAAGAAATTTTGCTTCCTTGCCATTTAATGCATAATGTAGATATTTTGGATTGGGTTTTGGCATTTTTTTTTCCAGTATTGAGGAAGTATAAGAAGAGAGAAATAAATCCAATGTGATGTCCTGTCATGGTGCTGGTCATAGCCTTCTCTGATGATCATGGTTGCTTTGTAAATATTCTTGCTGGAGTCGGGGAATGGAGTGGTGGGGAACAATGAGAAAAGATGATGCCTGCACACAGGAGATAAGGGAAAACCAATTATTTTGAAGGCAGGTAAAGGAAGGTGGTTAGCAAAGTACTGAAGAGGAAGACTTCTAAGAATACTGGGAGTACCTTTGGAACTTGAATTTGTGCTGCCCAGTAATTGTCTGAAATGAACCAAGTGAGAGAAGACCAGAAGTTCAAACAATGTTTGATAGTTTCTGAACTTTGTACTTCTAGCTTGTTCTGATACTTCAATCCAGAACAGAGGCTAAGATGCCAACTTTTAGAAGCCCTGGCAGTGTAGTGGAAACAACTCAAGTGGTACTTGAATAAATTACTGAAGTACTTGCAGGGTGGACTCAGATGCCTTGGCAATTAACTTGATAAAGCAGATAGAAAAGATGATTAAAGGAATTTGAAAATGGGCATGCTGTTTTTCAGCACAAAAAGATGTGTTTTAATCTATATTTAGGATTTTAGGGATACACTGAAAAAATGAAGACCTGTTCCATTACCCTTGGTAGCACTCTTTTGTTCATCCATTCTTAATTGAATGAAGCGAAGGGTAGCAGTTCATAAAGCTATTGATAGACCAGAAAGGAAACAAATACAAGTTCCACATGCATTATCTGTCCAAAACCTCAACAAACTGCCTTCTGTCCCAGGACGAATACTTTGGAAGATAGGTTAACCGTTGGTTTGTCTGGGGATTTTGGAGAGGATAGTACCATTGGGGTTTTGGGAGGTAGCTGTTTAGAGATGACTTCTTTTAAAAGATTGATTATTTTGTCCTTATAAATTTCTTCGGACTGTACAGATGAAGCCTGACCACAATTTAGGTGTTTGTAAAATTGAGTGTGTACATTGGACATGCTCAAACTGACAACTGTATGTAGTCTGTATGTGCATGTTTCTAAGTGTACATGCCTACACGTTTTCTGTTTCTTTGTGATAACACGGTGTTTATTGATCTGACAGCAATACTTTATACTTCTGATCATAACGGATGGTGTGATAACAGACCTTGATCAAACTCGAACTGCCATAGTTAATGCTTCGAAATTGCCCATGTCCATTATCATTGTTGGTGTTGGAGGAGCAGACTTTGATGCTATGGAGTTTCTTGACGGTGACAATGGAGTTCTTAGGTCCTCGTCAGGAGAACCAGCTGTCAGAGACATTGTCCAGTTTGTGCCATTCAGAAAGTTCCAAAATGTAAGTAATGTTAATGTACACTTAATTAATATTGTAGAGATATGCTGGATTTGCTAGGATATTCTATGTATAGTCCTAAGCTTTTGCAGTGTCTGTAAAATGAACTCTGAAGTCTGAGATAAGTCTTCATCAAATGTTTAAAAAAAAAAAAAAAAGACAGATGACTTCAGCATCTGTAGAATTTCCATTAGGTGAGCTGATTTGTGTTTAAAAAGACTACATGTTTGGTTTGAGCACTGCATTTCTGACAAGTTGCTGCAGGGGAATGACCTTTGAAAACGTCCCTCAGACTTGACTAAACAAATGAATGTATGTTTCATTTGTAAGGAAAAAAAGGAAAAAAATAAAATATGCACAGGCTTATATAGTCTAGCTTTTAAATGTCATATCGCTGGAAAAAGTTGGGGTTTTTTGGATTTTTTTTTTTTTAAAATAAATAAAAAAATCCCCCACAAACAAAACTTCTTCAAGATGGGGGAGATAAGATCAGTATTTTTATTTCCATCCTAATATGTTCTATTTTTGTTCTGTTTCTTAATATTAATCCTGCTAATAATACTCCTTATACCTCCTTATTCTGTCTTTGTATTTTTATTTTTAATTTTGATACAAGTTCTTTGTTTAATCTCAGGCAAACTGAAAGGAGAAAGAGAGCAAAATCAATATAGAATATGCTCACTGAATAATGCACTTGGATGTAGTTTAACTAGGGTCAATATTCAATATAAAATTATATATTCAAATGCTTTCAGTTTCTAGAAAAACAGGCCCTTTTTTTTTCCCCCATGGATACTTAGTCTTACAGTAAAAACAGTATCTCTAGAAGAGCTGTTCTGTAGCAATACAGTTACTGTGGATGACACTTGGAGCAAAATGTTGCAGATGATCAGACAGTGCCCTGAAGGGTCATCTTAAGCAGATAGTGGAAGTGTGTTTACATGGCTGAAGTTCGATGTCTGCCCTGTGTGTGTGTATTTCATCTGACAAAAGGTATCTTCAGACATGGCAGCCCTTTGTGCGCCCAGTTCCTATTACTTCAGTGGAACAAGGCGGCCGGTTGGTTCCTGGTAATGGGAGCGAGAAGGTAAAGATGTCAGGGAAGCTTCCGTCTGTCCCGCAAGCGTGCTGTGTGAAGTCCTCTGTAAAATGTCAGACTTTAAATTGGCCTAGTAGAGGAGGTGCTTATTACCTGTCTTAGGATCTCCTTTAACAGTTGGTGGAAACTGAAACTTGGTGTTCTTTTTTTTGTAAGTCTCCAAAAGAAGCTCTGGCGCAGTGTGTCCTGGCAGAAGTCCCTCAGCAAGTGGTGAACTACTTCAGCACCTACAAACTGCAACCTCCTAAGAATCCTGCTGCAAAATGAATGGGCTGAGTAGGGGAGCTGAGACTTTGTGCTTGCTTTACTTGCTGTATCTACAGACTTTGGTTCTCAAAATACTTCTGTATACATGTATACACACACCTCTGTATGGTAACGTCTGTTAGCTTTTGCCTGCAACTCACTTTGCCAAGTGTGCCTTTTAAGGGCCAAAATTGTTATTGTGGTAATATTTGATGTCGATTTGAGAGATAGTGCTTACATGGGTGCATTTTATTTTGAAAAGTAAGCATGGAAAAAAGAGGTTGAATATGCAGAGGGAAGGGGGAGAATGCTGGAAGTGGAACAGCTGCTTGTTTGATAAATATGGCCAGTGGGAGCGTTCAGTTGCTTTTGTGGTGATCAGCACTGAGGACTGCAGTTTCTCGGTGATCATAAAACCAGTCTGAAATGAGAAAGAGGGTATGTCCCCACCAAGCAGATAAAAGTTTGTAGGTGCTTCAACAAATTTGGAATACTTCAGGCTTCTGTGTCTATTAAGCCACCATAACAAAATTCTGTCACGGGAATTTCATAATTGGACAAGTGCCAGAACGGAATGTAAAGGCCCTCCTTGCATGCCTACTTCACATTTGCCACTTCAGTGCCTTTGGCCAACACCTGGAATTCAGGGCTGTGTGAACATGAGCCAAACAAGCCACTAAAGCATATATTATTTTATAGTTGGCAGTCTCTTAAGGTAGTACAGGAATAACTAGGGTGAATCAAGGTAAACCCCTAACTTCTCAGAATAATACTATTGGCCTTTGAGGCTACTACTGTAAAGACTGTAAGATGTGTTTCAGTGTGTACTGTGCTGGAAAATGGGAACTCGAGGTTTTACTTTGGTTGGAGTTTTGGTTTGGTTTTGTTTGGTGTAGTGGTTTTGGGTTGTGGTTTCCCCCCCCCCATAAAACAGTCATGACTATTGATCTTTAAAGGGCTTTTTGTGAATTGGGAATTCCCTTTTCAGTTAAAAAGTTTTGTCTGATTTATAAGTGCATATTTTCAAGCAAAGACAGTTCTTGAAAGTGCTACCTAATTTATATTGGTTTTGTCATATTTTGAATCATGCTTCTTTTTCATGAGCTCACTAATGAAAAGTGCCTACAAAAAAACCCAATCTTCCCTCTTCCCTCCCAGTAGGAAGACATAAGAAAGTCTCTAAGCTCTAATCCTATAATCATATTGCGTTTCCCTAGGGCAAAGAATTTCTGGTTTATTTTCTTGGCTTGAGTTTTCTCTTCACAATTTACACCAAGTGTAAATCATGTTGTGTTTGCTCCGTGGACAGATAAAGCTTTCTTGTCTCCCAGTTGCATACTGCTTGCTGAGGATCTCTTCTGATCCTGTCAGTGTGTATAACGTGGACGTAAAGGTCTCATCACTTCAAAAAAGCCCATCTTTAATTTTGCAACATTAATGTTGTTCTCCACTCCATTTTCCTTGGTGGAAGGGGGTCCTAAACAGTTTCACTAGTGAAATACTAAGGAAGAGGTTTTATTTTATATTAAGCCAAGCTCTTTCTTTTTTTAAATCTAATTCATGTGTTTGTTTATATAAAAATCTATAGTAATCTTTTTATCAGTGTAGTGCAAATATGTTACTACTTCATACATAAATTATAATGAAGTGTTGTGCCAGATAGGCAACACAAAGTATTAGGATCAAGGAAGTAGTTGCAATGAACCTAAATCACACCGCTGCAAATTGATATTCTATGATTTTGGAACAGTAAACCGTTTCACAGCTACGTGCTCCGTGTACAGAGATAACGGGATGCAGTGTTAATGCTTCGTCTAGATTCATTGACGTGGATGAGTACTGCTGATAGGAGTACAGGATACTACTGAAGTTCCTCTGAGCTCTCTGCCAAAAATATAATGCTGCATCTGAGTTCTGTTAGCAATTCTGTTTTAAGTTGCTGTGGCAGTGCATTTAAGTATGTTATAAGCTATTTTTATACTAAATATCTGCTGCATATAAAATACATAAACCCTTTTGTTTTGTCTGTGTTCTATACATAAATTCTGGGTTTCTACAGTAGAGAATTCATTATCTCTTATTGGAAAAGTGCCCCCTATGTTCCTCAAGCTTAGGGAATAAATAGCATATCAACGACACCTGCTTCTCAATGTGCCCATTCTGTGTAAAAAAAAAAGTGTTTCAGACCTGACAGTGAGAAGAACATTTTCCCAGCATAACTTCTCTTAGAGGTATGCAGCTAACAGCCTGTTGGAAAATTTGGAAAATTCCAAGTTAGGCTGAAGCCATATTGTGAGCCAAGGAATGCAGCAGATTGTGAGTCAAGGGAGAGGGGAGTTACTTTGTTGTTTTGCCATTTTTTGTTCATTTATTTTTACATGTGAAAAATGCCTTATTAAGCTTGAGGGTGGCAAAGCAAAATATTGTCGAAGTTCTGTGAAGTGAATGTGCTTGTAGGTCACTTGCACCACCTTGTGATAAAAATGATGTATAGCAGTCTTCATAATCAGATGCTTTTTGCTGTTTAATGGTCATAATATATACATATGTACAGCAGAGAAATAATCTGTAAGCAGAATTTTTTACTTCGCTTTGTATTTCAGTTCTGATGAAGTTAACTGATTTACAATGCCTATGCATTAAAAATAGAATTTCAGTATACTGTTCTTCCGTTGTACTTTTGTATTCAGCATTTTCTGTCTAATGATAAATGCTGCTTTTGCAGTTCCTATTACGAGTATTCCACAGGCTGAACAGCTCAGACTTATAACAAGTATTATCAGCTGAGAGCAAAAATGCTTTTTTACTCAGTGGTTATGAATGTGCAGTGTATATTTCATAAACTATCATGTACGGGCTTTTAGCAAGAACATATTCTGAAACTGGGTGGTTTCAGCAGTGACTGTTCCATGCTCTTTGCAATGTTAGAGTTCTCCCATGCATGCTTATTTCATACAATTATTACCACGTTTTCCAGAGACATAGTGTTGCAGCAGAGTGTGATGCCATACAGAACCTTAGTGAGCTTTGATACCGGAAGGTTCATCTTCTAAGTGCTCTAGAGTAATTCACTCAACTTCATCAGATTCATCCACAGGTTAGAATTAGTTGCTGAAAGAGTTTAATACTTCTTACAAAAGGACCGGGTCTTGACCTTTTTTGTGTCATTCCTTCTGGTGAAAGCCCTATAAATAATTGGAACTTGGATTCCTGGACCCTTCCTGCTCTCCCATAAAAATGGAGGAATTCTGGGAAGGGGAAGATACTCCAATAACAGAAAAGTAGGATGTCATAGAATCATTTAGGTTGGAAAAGACCCTTAAGCTCATCGAGTCCAACCGTTAACCTAGCACTGCCAATTCCACCACTAAACCATGTCCCTAAGCACCACATCTACACCTCTCTTAAGTATGTCCAGGGATGGGGACTCAACCACTTCCCTGGGCAGCTTGATGACCATTTTGGTGAAGGAGTTTTTCCTAATAGCCAATCTAAACCCCTGGCGCAGCTTGAGCCCATTTCCTCTTGTCCTATCACTTGTTACTTGGGAGAAGAGCCTAACACTCACCTTGCTTACAGCCTCCTCTCAGGTAGTTGTAGGGAGCGATAAGGTCTCCCCTCAGCCTCCTTTTCTCCAGGCTAAACAACCCCAGTTCCCTCAGCCCCTCCTCGTAAGACTTACGCTCCAGACCCAGAGAGAACCAGGTGGATGTTACTTCTGTGTGACCATGGTCTTCTGCAAATACTGACATTTCTCCTCTTTCATTCTGGGTCTAAGGAATTTGAGAGCTGTGCATAACTTGGTAATTTTGCAGCAGAACTGACAGGCTTTCCTGCAATCCTGAGCTGTTAAGAGTTGTAGCAAAGCAGCAACCCGTGGGATGCTTTGTTGCTGCAGTGTAATGCTTGCTGCTGCAGTCTCAGCCCTTACTTTGTAATATATGTCAGTGTGTGATTGATGAACTTCAATATGCTGACAGTGAAAATGTTTGAAGTTACCTGGCAGTGCTTGTGTAGGCAGAAAGGGAGGGGATCTTTTGCAATGAGAAAGCTTTACTTGTTAATATCAAAACATTAAGAGATGGGGGTTTATGTGTTTTCCCCCTTCCATAATGTTTTGACAACTCCCTCTGAATAAAAAGATGTGAGAACCATATATTGTAATGAATTCATAGATCATTATTATTCATAGAAGGCCTCATTTGTGAAGCAGTTCTGCAATATTTCTAGTTTTGGGATTGTATTGAGACATTCCTGGATGTGCAATAGATGAATTCCTTGTGATGCATCTTAGCATTTTCTACCTCTCTTTTAACATCCTTTTTTCTTACATATCAAATAACAAGTAACATGCAAATAAAGATGGTTCTTCCCATGTAGTACTTGGACTTTGACCTCACTGCTAATGCAACAGAACTTTCTTTTTGAGAGAGTTTTGGGGTTTGGTCATGTCAGAGGGTGTGTGGAGTATACAACATACGGAATTCAGTCATCCAGCTTCTACTCCAGCAAAGCTCCCGCTGATTCTGCTTGGGCTGCCAGCTTTGCCTGTGATTAGAGAAGGTCAAAGGCTTTAAGGAACAGGCCTACAGAATGCATAGCCCACAGGGTCATGTATAGCCTGCAAAGTGAATGTTTAATTTTGGCATAGTGCCTGCCTTCGTTGGCTGGTCAGCTGAGGAGCTGTGAAGCCTGCCCTTTCTTGGCTTGGCCTCTGCATAATGGTTTTAGTTCCCAGAGCTGTTCATCCAGTGGTGACTGAAAGCAGATATGAAGAGAGAAGAGATGCAAACCCATGGAAGAGAAAAAAGTGATTGATAATTAAGCTTAAATCACAGCTTCAGCCTTTTGTTTGATATTGAATCCCTTTCTGTGATGAGTTGATGCAGAAGGTTGACAGGGTGGGAGCTCCTTGTTAGGAAGCTGTATCCCTCTCCGCTGTGGTGCTGGTAAAGGATTTACTTCAGTTCACAGGTACGATGTAGCTCAGCCCCGGTAAGGCACAGGGCTCGCTTTGCACCATCAGTCACGGTCTGTGATGGAGGTGAACAACTGGAGCACTGGTTGAAACTACGCACCACAGAGCCAGAAAGTGCAAATCCTGCTTTTTATAAAATAGCCTTTATTTTAAAGCGGCCACTTTAGATATCAAGATTCTTCAAAAAGCCAGCCAGTATCAACTGCTTGCTCTTCAGAGAGCATTATTAATGCTCAACCCCTTGGGAAGATGAAACGTTTAAATTGGCAGCCCAGAGTTAAAGGGGGGGGGGGGGGGGATGATCATAGTTAGCATG